TTATTAAATTAGTTAATACATATAATATTATAAATTTTACCCCTGCAGTTTTGACTATTTTGGTTCAGATGCATTGAATTTCTTACATTTATCAGATTTCATTCGCTACAATAACAATCAAATTATCTTTATTCCCTTACATTCTTCCATGTTCCAAAAATAAAATATTATAGGTTTTAAAAATAAAAAAGAGTTAATTATTAAATAATATAAAATTTATTTTTTAATATTTTAAATAATATAATTTATATTACATCATTGGTTTCAAATTTTGATTCCAAATTTTAGTTTTATTTATCATTATTCTATAAGAAGCCCATAGCTTCAACATGAGATGCATTAAGGATAGCCATAGCTGTTTATATGCAATTTAATTCGATTGATTCAATTAAAATTAATTTAATCTAACTAAAATTTAATACATCAATTTTAGTTGGTTTGAACTAGAAAATTTTAAAACAGATATAATTAATTAGTTGATTTGATTTGTAATTTTACTTTTAAATTAATTGAATTTTCCAATTATAAAATAACTCAATTAAATAACATAATACTTTATTTTTTTAGTTAATCTATATTTTAAATTTTTTGATAAAATAAAAATATAATTAACATAGTATATAAAATGGTGTTTAAAAAATTTTTTCTAATGGTACTCTTCTTATTTTTATAGTGTAATTTTTTTAATTGTAATATTATAATATTAATTGTATTAACTATTATTTTCTTATTTTATTTTTTTCTATAATTGTACAATATAACTTGATTATCTTAATTAAAAATAGTGCAATTCTTTATCAAAAAATATATGTAGTGTAGCTCTAAATGGTCTCCTATATAAACAATCTTTAGTGACCATAGTTTGGGTTTACATATTTTGATTTGCTTTATTAGTACTATTATTTTGTAATTTATAATATTAGTGTATTTTATAATTGTATTTTTTATTTGATGTTTAGATTTTTTATCTAATCAAATATATTTAAAACAATGTTAAAAACCAATTAATCCAACCAAAGCACACCAATCCAAATTAAATTGGTTTCATTATCATATAATAGTTGATTAACTTGATTTGAAATTTTTATTAATTAATTAAATTGGTTGATTATTGTTTCCTCTAGAATCCTCTTCTCTCAACTACTCATGGTAGAAGTTGCTTAGACATGCCATTTGCTTTGCCCAAAGCAAAACAAAAGGATTTTTGGGAACCCTCACTTCTTCCAAGTATAGGAACTTCTTTAAAAGTCAATGGAAGAATGCCATTTGATTGAATGATTGCGCTAATAATACCTTAACCAGATGATTATAGTAGAAATAGGAGTACATTCTTACATGAAAGTTTAAAAATATTTGCTTGGAAGAACATCAAGTACCTCCCACTTCTAGGGTTATAATGAAATTAGTTTGTTAAACAAAATAGACAAAAATAAGAAAAATGGAGAAAAAGTGAGAGAGCACGTCGCAAAAATAAAGAATGATTTAAAATTAGAGTAACAAAAGGACATCAAACTAAAAGTATTGAAAATCTTAAAATATGGTTAGAATTGAAAACTAAAAGTATTGGTAGAAATAAATTAAAGTGTCAAAAAAAATGTTAAAGTTACTCACTAACAAAATAGTGAATTGAAGTTAGCAAAAACATAAAAAGCTAACTACCAACAAAAATAAAATGAAACTAAGATCTTTACTTAAAAGTTTAAGAAAAATTAATTACAATTGAAGGTGGAAATATAGATTTGCTAACAAAATAGAATCCAAAACTAGACAATTAGACAAAAATGTAAATTATAGACAGAAATACAAAGTTTGCTAGCAAAAGAGGAACAACTATATTGAGTCTAATTGTTGGAGCTAACTTAATCAAAGAAAAAAGAAAAAACAACAGCAACAACAAAGATCCCAAGGGAGTTGAACCTCTTCTACACTAATTTAGAAAGTTGTAGTGTTGTTGTAGAAGCTATCTATGAACTAAACTAATCTTGAGTTAAGACATGTTGAAATATAGATGTTATTAAGAGAGGAGGCTGTCAAACTTTGTCTTGAAATCTTGTATATAAAGCAAAGTTGTTGCCATAAATCTAATATGATCATAATTTTCACCAAGTGCCCTATTTTCATGCTTGACTAAACCAAAGGAATCTCAATAGTTTTGAATCCTTCCTTGCAAAATAAATTACTACCACATGTCATTTAGTTACTACAAAATAAAATTTTAGTTGTCAGAAATCCCTAAAATCACGCTTGTTGGAATCGTTTCTAATTTTTCTCAACTAAACTAAACAATTTTACACCATGTTAGTAACTTCCCTGATATTGTGGAACAACTAACCTCTTTTCCTTCCATTTTTACCATGTGGTGAAAATTTATTACACCAAAATTTTTACTTACTATGGACTACATCACACTAGAGCATGGTTATTAATTATTTTTTGAATTTCTAATTTTTTAGTAAAAATTGTGGCCATTAAGTCTTCATTAAAGACATGGCATTATCAAGAAAATTGTCGAATGTGGTATAAACAATTATAAAAATATTGAAATTTAAATCAATCTACAGCACCAACACATCTAAGGACAGGGACCATCAAAATCTTTTATTGTGTAACTTGTGGAATCATGCATAACAATAACACAACCAACACTACCTTTGTGAGCAACTCCTACATAAAGCCCTGTCAACATTGACCTTGAAGTTGCTTATTGAAGGAGGATATCATGACAATTGTTGAGGGAGCCTTGGTTTAGCATGTTTTTTAGAAAAGTATCAAACAAGTGAATTATAGACTTTGCCAATCGCTACAAGAATGTAATCATAAAAGCATTGGTCACAAAATATTGATACAAATGCATGTTTTTTGCATCAACATTTAAATGTAAAAAAGAATTAGTAAAAAAATATTTATCAACCTTTTCTAGAAAACATTAATGTAAGATGGTCAAAAGTCTGATAAATACATATGCAAAATGATTAATATTATAGAAAAGTAATTACAAGTTGTAGAAGGCAACTATGCGGATTGAGATGAATAGTGCATTTGTTATTTGTGCCAGCAATTGACACAAATGACCAAAGTTAATGCAACTAAATTATTCTTATTTTCGAAACATATCTTGTTTCCATTTTCCCAAGCTTTTCATTACCCCTCCTTTTTCTTTCACAAAACCAAATAGGGGACCACCATTGATCTCCCATTCCAACAATCAATAGTGTAGTTAAGATTTGTATGCAAAAAGGCACAAGCCATAAATATATATATTAATGTAGAAATACAAAAATAACAACACAAGAATATAATTGGAAAGATGATTATAAAATAACAAAGAAAGAGATGAAATTACATTTAGTTCTTTTAACAAAATTATTCTAATCAAATCTCTACAACTTAATATGGAAAATCATCTAAATCCTAAATTAAAAAAAAAAAAATCGAATGAGTCAATAATTAAAAATTTTTTGAAATAAAGGAAAAGTACAAGAAACTTAATTTATGGTCATCACATACACTAGTTAAAAATAAATACTTTTTCCCAGTTTCTATCACACACTACTAACTAAAAAGTAATAACTAATATATTATTTTATAGTTTTATTCACTTACTTAACTTTTGTTTTGAGCAATTACACTTTTGATGTATTTCCAAAATCAGTAGTATAGTAAAATTTAAATTCTAAAACCTAAACTTAACAATCCAAATATGTAAAATCTAAAGTCTAAAATCCAACATTTTTTTAGTAATAGTACAATAAATGATTGAAATCAATTAGCAATTAACAAATTAACTTAACAACCCAAAAACAATTTAGCATTTATCACATAGTTATAAATTACAATATAATAGATTTTCATAAAATATATAATAGAATAGATTAATACATTTTTTTTTATTTTTCAAAGATATTAAAAAATTAATTAAAAGCTACAATCTATAAAGAAATTTTAAAAAACCAATTGAAAGGAGACTCTTGTAAAATCTATATATATATATATAGAATTGAAGAGAGAATGTATTATTATCTACTAGGTTTAGAATTAAGAAAGAAAACTAATGCTAATTGAAGAATAATTCAAATGCAAAAATAACATTAAGTAATTTGTAGAATTAATTACCTAAAAAAATTAAGTATAATGGCGGTCCTATAGCATCTTATTCTCATGTAAAGTCTCAAATATTTGACTAAATATATTTTATTTAATTAATTTTAAAAAAAATTGGGGACCTAGCCCAAGCCTCCCATCTCTGCCATCACCAACAGCATTTATTGAAATTCGATTCTCACAAAAGAGACAAAATAATGAGAAAATCACTTCTTTAAAAAAATTTTATTATTTTAGTAAATCTATATATTATATGAAATAGATATTAACTTTCTCTCTCTTTTTTTATTCTTTTTACATTTAAAGTCCAAGGGCTCTCGCATTGCATTGCAACAACACCAAGGATACATATTGAACCAAACATATAAAATATTTATTATATTTCCAATGCATACACAATACCCACAATAACACTAAATATCCAATCTTATGTTAGCCACATCCTTCTCAAAAAACTCCATCACCTAACATTAGTGATAAGTGACATAAATCTCAAAAGGTAGCAGAAAACCAGTTGCCCTCCACAGTTACAATGTAACAATGGTAAGGAAATGCATGACTAAATCATCTTCCTTCTTAGCATAGCTCTAAA